TGCTTACATAGAAAATGATTTAGATGATGATTTTTTTTCAGCTCTTAACGCTGAAGAATTACCTGAAGAACAAGAGGATTATGAAGAAGAAGAGGCTGAAGAGAGTAATTGGCAAATAGAGTTTCAAAAGTTTCGGAAAAATCAGAACAAATTAGAAAAGGGTATTAATGAAGAATATGATGATGATATGAGATCAAGAATTACCGGCAACTATTCTATGTCAAGTTCTGTTATGCATAGAAACGATAAACTTCGATTATTGGATGATCAATTTGAAAAGGTTGCTGATTGTATATTTATATTTTATAACCGAAAAAATTGGTCTTAATGGTTTCTAGCATCTTTCGAATTAGATCGAAAAGGAGTATATGGAAGATTATGACGATGATTCTGATATCGAATCAACGTCGTCTTCTCAAGTTCGGCAAGATTTTTCTCAAATTCTTGATGAATTCCTTGATAAATATGAAATTAGCGGCCGGAAAATTGTGCCAAAATCAGAAGATACCGTACAAAATCAATTGGATGCAATTCGCCAAGAATTGGGACAAGTCCACCTTAATGAACAAGGATCTGAGTTAAAGGAAGAAATGGTTAACAAAGCTACCAAGACGAGTAAAGAGTATGTAGAGGTTGAAAGTGAACCATTTACAAAAAAGCAGGCTTGGGATTGTCAATCAATTCTGAGTAAGCACATCTATATGTTGTATAACAGCAACCTTCTTAGTTTATCTACTGTTCATACGGCGATTCTATAAATTACCGATTTTAGGTACATATTCAAACCTTGAAAACCATCCGACCTTAATACGTGAACAACCTCGTAAAAAGTCAAATACAGACTCTGATGATAATAAATTTCTTAAAAACGAAGAATCTGATTCAGAAAGACAAGTTGAAGTTTCAGAAGATGAGAATGGTCAAATAAGAGGTCAGTTAAAAAGAATGTCGCGGATGATACTAGATCATGCTGAAATTTGGACCTATCGCCATTTTATTTAATATGAACTTTAGGAGAGTCGTTAATAGAAGCAGGGACCTGTAAAACTTCGAATTTTATTTATAATTTGAAATTTATATAAATAAAATCCAAAATTTTCCGGGTCCCTGAATAAGTAGGGCTCATAGCGAGCTAGCACATGACTACCAAATAAAGTCCCCAAATTTTCATCATTTCCAGTGAAACACATGTACAACATGTAATGACTAATTAAGACTACCTGATAATTCGATTCTCTTTGATTTTCGACAAAATCGAGCTGACGGCCTTTTTTCTTATCCTTGGATGGGGCTTCAACGAATATAGCACCCCCTTCTCCAATCGATTTTAAATGTTGAAGATAGTCATAATTCGTGTCATCGAAATATATACCGTATAATGCTGCTTGACCTACGCGACTTTTGAATTATACGTATCGATATATTATGTATAACTTTCCAAATCGATCCGTTAAATCAATGAAGAGAGATTTAAAAAAAAAAAAACCTTTCAATGTCAGCCTGCTTCCGATTTTGGTTGTCTTCACTTATGTCGTCATTAACTTGATATACCTTTCCCTAAACGTTACAATAAAATTACACGTTTTATGAATTTATCAAGTCCATGTCCACGTTTTATTTAAAGGGTGAAAAGACAAGTTTGTGGATGAACGTAAAGCTCATAACCATGTTTCATTGGCTTCTTTCGTTTTTTAGGCGAATAATGGTTTTGACAGTAAAAATTTCATATAAGTTTTATCTAGAATTTCGCATACAAATCAAGAAACTTACCCGTAAATTCGGTGGGATACTTCAA